AAATAGAGCAATATATGCAGGTCTTCTTAACATAGCTTTGGTTACTGATAAACTAGCCATAACCATAGCCCTCTTTATTCAATATGTGTTGTATTATGACCAGCTGTAGATACACATAAAGTTAAACGAATTTAGCTAAGTCATTAGAACCACTTTGCATCTGACTCTTTGCATCTGTCTCTTCATCTATTTTTTTCTTACTCCTTTCTACCTAAAAATATTCCAGGGCTTAGAAGTATTCTCAGTAACTTGAGCCGGCAATTTATTTTTATTGCTATAGCTATTTCAGTTATTTTAAAAGGATAGATATATTGGGTAAATAAAAACAGGGTATTTGTCACCAATCTAAGATTATTAAGCTTTGTCTGGTGAAGAGATGAAAATACAGAGATTAAAATATTTGATCCAGGTCACCAAGGGAACTAGCACAAACACTGGGGCCTGAATTTATACCTTTCTCATGTTTCCTTTTCTTGGCAACCAGTATTTCATCTAGGGCAAGACTTTTTATATACTTAGTCCGATCTGAAATTACTATTTTTGTTTTACTGAAGGGGAAATTTAATTGTTTTATCAAAATCATCCTGAATTCATTAGAGTATTACATCAAATGACACTACACCTTGGTCAGTCTATTCTCTCTAGCACACAGTTGGAAGCCATGGCCAGTACACTGTTTTTCCAAAGTAAGTGCTCAAGCCAGGAAGACCCCCCTCAGCTATTCTCCTTACCCAATCCACTGAAAAATACTCCCTTTGAATACATTGTATTCAAAATAGGACTAGGCAGACCTATTTCTCTCATCAGGTTACATCGAGATCTCCCACGCTGTCATATATAGAAGAGATCCATCACTAACAATACCAGTATCAAGGAGAGAAGTAGGGTGTTGATTCTTGTGCAACAAAAGTTTTCCATTAGTGTGAGTTTTTTAATTACATGCTGATAGAACCAAACCCTGTTCTGAACCTGACTCACTCTGACTCAGTTAAGTTACCTGTTGCAATTTCCAAAAGAACTTTAATACTCACTGACCTTACCGGGAAGCTTTCAGTTAGTTATGTAGGGTAAAATTCTCTTGCTATTGTCTAAAATGTCCTATTGATTTCTGTGCCCTGTGTGTGTGATTAAGGTAATGCTTGGAAAGTCATATGTAAATCTTAAATTCTTTTGTAATGAAAGTAGTACTGATGGACTCTGAAGAATTACTAGTTACAAAAGGTCAGGGATGATGGCCTAACTGCTCATCTGTGGATTGTCAATAGAGTTAAATGGTGGATTTTCAAGCATATACTGGCTTTTGTTCCTGATACTTTAAATTTGTCAATTTTTACAGCTTTCATCTGCTAATATTAAATAATAAATCTTAAGCCTTTCATGAATCATGTAATGAAAATGTAATGTAATGTAATGTAAAACTTTCTTAGACCACGCTTTGCCAAACAGCGTAATCATCCCTTCCACTCAAAAATATGAACTGCAATATGCTGACCCCTCTAAAAAAATTGATTCAGTAATAAAAATAAATTTTTGTGGCCCTGAACAGAAACCACACTTTTTGAACTTGGTATGTGACCTTTGGCTAAACACTTGTTTATTCATCCCTCTAGAGATGAGTAACAGCAGTTACCTCTCAGAGAAAGAGGCTTAAGACTCAAACCTGCATTCATGCAGGCAGGGAGCTCTGCAGCTGTGCAGTGCTGCTGCTGCCTGTGCAAATATGTACAATGCCATGGGACCTGGGCCATAGCTCTGGTGGATGGTAGTAAGTCTGGCAACAGGCAGACTGCAATGTAGTAGCCAGGAGACACATGCAGCAACGGATGTGACGAGATAATCCAGTCCAAACTCACTAAACTCTAAACTGTTCAAGGAATTTTGGTGTGTTCGCTCTGTATCAGCAGGTCTTTGTGCTAGATCAACCACAGACTCTCACCCTCATGCTAGTTTAAAATTTGAATACCATCCTTGTTGTCCACTTTGGTTACTTTGTCAAGAATGTGACCATCTATCTATCAAGCAAAATTTGGATCTATGTGATGAGCTGGTGGTATTGAAAACTAAGGCCTAAGAAAAGGGGTCAACAAGACTGTGTTGGTAAATGCAGTGTTAAGCCAGACTACAGTCAATCCAGCTGCTGAAATGAATCTAAGCCTTTCCAATGATTCAAATACACTTTTTAATTTTTTTTTCTTGAAAGGATAATTTATGCCAGCAGACTTTCTGTTATAAGGAATCACCTGACCTCCTTTTGTTAATCAGCTGCCGGGATAGAAACCTGAAGGTGACAAACACTGTGTAGCTTCCTCTACCAGCCTGACAGGGTATGGCTGTGGATTTATGAACACTTTGTCATTCTGCTGGGGTGATGGGAGAGTGCAGGTTGCTGCATCTATGACTCTGAAACCATGATCCTGGTCCATGGTGAGCTCTGTGTTGTCAGGCTGCCTGTGCAAACTAGCCTGATAGCCCTTTGAAAACCTGGCCTGAAAGAGGAAATAAAGAGAAGAAAAAAAAACAAAATAGGGAATCAACAAACAATTGGTCTGAATCTCCTTCTCAAATCAAATCACTTTTATCACTATAAAATTGTAACAAAAGAAAAACTATGCAGTTCTGGTGAGCTTGTAGTCTGGTCCTTGGCACAGCAATGAACTCCACAAGAGGCTGCAAACAGGGAAAGGGAATGGATATCTTTCCTAATAGTTGATACTGGCTCAGAGCTCATAAACTAACTCACAGAGCATCTAAAGACTTGCAAAGGAGCAGTGTTATTTTTTGATTTGGCATTGCTAGAAATCAGACAGAGGTTTTTTTTTATTATTATTGCTTTTGTCAATGAGTATTTTTTGTAACAAAAATGTCTTATTCTATAAACAGAACTTCTAATTGCATTATTCCAATTGACTACTAGTTAATCTCATCTCAAATAAAGACAAGTTTGAGATGAAGAAATCATGAGAAAAATCAACTCAAAGGCAGTTGCAATCTAGGTTTGGAAAAAGTAGCACAGGTAAGCAATATGGCTGCAAATCCCTTTGAGTAACCATTGACCCACTGCCTTCCCCTGTCAGTCCCGTTTTATGTGTCCAGAGCAGGCTGTAAAGCAGTTGGTATGGGAGGATATCATGTAATAAAAGAACAGAGAGTCACTGCAATGTTGTCTTGCTTAAAAAAATAAATGGATTTGTCATTTAGAAAATTACAAAAAATATTAAGAATTAGTAATGGAATTGTTGCATTGGCAATTTGCTAGCAAGTGACCATCTCAGCATGCCTTACTCACTAAATATGGTACTTATCTGATCCAAATCAGGCAGAGGGACTGGCCCAAGATGTGTGACAGAGAAGGATGACAGCAGATGACTGCTCCAAACACCAACGGCGAGAGACATTTGCTTTCCAGCCTGCAGTGTCGGGAAGTGTCATGTGTAGTTAAGACTGAAGCGTTGACCCCTGTGAAACCATTAGCAGGGCACACAGTAAGGCCCATCTGTTTACTCAGGCCTCTAAGAGGGGGGAGAGTTGCTTTTCGGGCGTTCTTTAAGCATGAATGGCACACAATTCAATGAGGAATTAGGAAACTTCTGGTTGTTGCACCAATATTAAAGCTGTGAGGAATTGCATTTTAATCTTTCAAATAGGCAGAGAGGTTAGCTAATAGGCTTTATACTCCACAAACTAAAAAGTAAATAAATAAATCAGCTAAAATGAGTTGACCTTATAATAAAGAACTAAAATTACACTTTCAATCACTATGTAACAAAAAGAATGAACAAATTATTATTTTTTAGATATACATGCAAAGAGATAATTTTTTTTAAACTACTGATTCCCAAAACTAGAACTAGAATTAAAACTCTTCCTGATTCCATGCAGGAGCCTGCAGCAGTGTGTGTCAGAAGGCAGCTGTTTGTGCCATGGTGGGAAAGCTGGGCGCTGCACCTCTGGGTGCTGCACAGCCATGCACAAAACTGACAGCCGCTGTCCCAAAGAGCTTACATTTCAAGTACATGACTAGGGATAACAGATGGATAGAGATGAGAAATGATGAAAACAATGGGATACTGGAAAGGCTGAAATCCCAGCTGCTTCCTCGGTCTCTGATATTGCCAAGTTGAAATTTCACAGTCTTACTGTCACAGCTGAGTTTACTCTGTTTTTTCCCACTGAGGAAGAGGAGCAGTAAGACCTTCGTGCATGTTACAAAAGGGCTTCAGGCTGGAATTTGCTGCTGAACCAGATAGTATTGTGATAGACCAAATAAAAACTGGTTTCTCCACGTCTCCTCTCGCTGCTTTGTTAATGGAAAAGTGGTTGTAGGCAGAGTTACATGCTCAGTGGTACAGAACGGTGGAGGTTGGTATGCTGGGCACACAGTTTGGAAGTCAGCCCTTTAATCTCTGAGCAGGGGCTAGCATCAGTGGAGGCTTACATGGGCTTCAGGAGGCAGACAGGACACAGTGACACATTTCCCTTGAGGAAAGCGAGCCTGAGATACAGCTGATGGCTTAATACAGCTCCCAGCCAAGAGCAGCATGACAGAAGTAACCTCTTACGGTGAAACGGCCTCCACACCCAAAGACGCTTTTAAGAGAGGGATTCAGAAATAAAAACCCCAAATGCCAACACTGGGACAAGCGTGGTTGAAGGCAGTCCTCAGTTGCTGCTAAGCTTGCCACAAGGCTGTGACTCAGAACCACCACTGAGGCGGGGTGAAGCGCCCGGCCGCCGCTCCACCATACGGGTCGGCCGCCGCTCCCGGGGCAGGATGCTGGGAGACTCCCGAACCGCCGCTCCTCCGGACCTGTTGGAGCGGGAAGCCCAGGAAGTTTCTCCTCGGCACTTTCCCAAGCAAAGAGCCGGCTCGGGGCGGGCGGGTCACAGCACTTGGGGGCGGAGCGGCAGCGGGGCGGGCCCGGCCCTGGCCGGCGGGAGGAGCCGGATCGGGGAGGGGGCGGCCCGGAGCGGCGCCGCCGGGATGGGAGAGTGGCGGGGGGCGAGTCCGCGGTCGGAGGAGCCTGGCTGCGGGTCGGTCGTGGGGGCTGCTGCTGGAGGGGCTGAGCCCGCCATGGAGCCGGTGACCAGGTGGAGCCCGAAGCAAGTGGTGGACTGGACTAAGGGTAAGTGGGCGCCGGCCCTGGGCGCCGGGGGAACTTTCCGGCGGTGGGCTCGGGGGTGCCCCGGTGCCGCCGCGGCTGCTCTGCCCGGCGGGGCCAGCGGGGCCTTGGCCAGCGCTAGCCCCAGCGCCAGCCCCGGCCCCGGCTGCGTGGCCGCGCCCCCGGCTGAACCCCGGGACTGCCCGGCGTGGCGCTCGGGAGTCGGCGGCTTTCCGCGCCCTCCTGCCTTGGCTCCCTACCTGTTCGTGCGCTTGTGCCTGCTTCGCCTTGTGGTTTTGTTGTTGTTTAGTTTTGGTTTTGTTTTTTACATGGGAAAAGGGGAAGGTTTTGAAGCGAGTTTTGCAAGGAGGATGGCTGACTCGAGGTACGCGTATATATACTGGGGTCCTAACTCATGGCTCGGTCCCCTTCTCCCGTGCTTATGCTGGCCAGCCTGCTTGCATAGACGGGGTAACTGTGCTCCTTCAGGCAGGTAAAATCGTGGAATCATAGAGGCGTTTAGGTCTGAAAAGCCCCACGTAAGTCAGCTTTCAGCTTCTCAAGCAAAACCCATTCACTGTTCGAAAAAACTTCAGGTTTGCAAGTTAAGCTAAAAGTTTATAAAGTAGCTCAAGGAAGCAAGGACTCTTAATACTGTTTAACGGTGATGGGATTGAAACGCTAGACTCTCGCTCGGAGAGTTAAATAGCGGCCCCTTCGTCCGTTTGTCCGCCCGTCCATCCTTCCCACCCCTCATCTCTCGCATGTATGCTTGTGTCTCTCCCTCCCCCGCCTACTAAAACTTCCTCCTCTGCTTCGAGGTTTGTTCACAGTGTTGACGTAGCTGCGAAAGCCTCAGCGAGACCGATGTGTGGAGCCTGCCTGCCCCTGCGCCCGGGCCCCGGGGTCTCTGGTGGGACGGAGGCGGCGGGGCGAGGAGTCGAGGGGCGGGGATTTTGGCAGCGTTGGGTGTTATCGGGTCTGTCTTTAAAGGCAGATTAATCCTCCTGCTGTCAGTTCTGGTTGGACACTGCTAGTGCTTTCCGAATGACGATTGGGGTATTGCTGTTGCAGTTCCCGCTCTACTGGGAATGAACCAAAAGGGAAATAAAGCTATGACTTAGGTGAGGGATTTATGACTTCTGAAGTGTACGTCTCCTTTTCTTGTAGGACTAGATTTAGCGTGATCCTCTTATGTTACACAAAGTATTTTCACAGGCGTTGCTGGAGTTGAAGTTGATGAGAAGTTAGGAATGTTTTCAGAGGTGAAAGTTTCCTCGTATAAGAAGCGGCATTTACTTACAGCAGCCATTACTGCTCTGTCTCAGGACCATAATACTGATTGGAGTGCATGCCTGTGGTCAGCACTTGGCAGTAGTGCGGCTCAAAACTGAGGCAAATTTGGAAAGCAGACTCATGTCTTCAGACAGGGAGAGATGGATACTCCCAGCCCTCCTGAGAACGTGAACATGTTCGTGAAGGAGCCGGTGCCAGGGAGGGACCTTCCAAGTAGCCTTTGTGAGGAGAGAATTCCACACAAACGTGCTGTGAAGTTATGCATTAACATATAAATAACTTCCAGAGAAAGATCTCTCTCCTTTTTCCTTTATGCTTGGTATTGGTTTAAGCAGGAGTGCATTGTTCCAATGTAATAAGCCTTTTGCTTTGGTATGTGCAATATTTATATAAAGCTTTTCCCTCGTATTTTTTTCTCTTGGGTGCTGAAAGTTGGTTAGCTTGCCAGATCAAAGAGTAAACCTGCTAATCATTTTAAAAGCCTTTATTATACTTAAGCATGCTTGGCTTCCTTTCTTGCATAATTTATTTTACTCGCAGGTTCCTTGAACAGGTAACTCTTTAGCTGGACCCTAAATTAGTGTTATGGAGAATGATTTGAGGGCTGGCCGTAGTTGGGAGATGGGTCTTCTGACTAATGGAAACACGTGTCCTTTGAAATGTAAAGAAATAAATTGAAGACTGCTGATGACTTTTGTTTGTGCTGTTGTTTTTCAGTTTCTGGGTAAGCTTTCGACCTCTTTGGTGCACAGAGTCATTTTATGTCACTCCCTGCATGACAAGACTGTAATAAAGAAATGAGATGTGGAAAGTTTTTCTTTATGTTTCTGCTTTCATCTCTGCACATTAAAATAGACACTTTAATAGTTAGCTAACAGCCTTATTAGCACAATGTTTCATAGTTTATTTTTAATCTGAAATAGCTTTTTACTATGTAGTTCACAACCACTGGATTTCATGTTTGACCAAGACCAATATTCTGTATTTTACCTTATGAATACTACATTTAATTCTGAAGGTTGGTTTTATAAAACAAGTGGTTGGAGGGGAGCTTATGCCATTTGCTTTCTTGCACGTATCATCTCTGAAGAGTGATACCGTGATCTTCACTGAACTGGTCAAACTCTAGGGTAAGGTATTTGGCTGGTGATATCCACTACCAGTAGTTAGTGCTGTGGTACCATGGAGATCTTTTTTAGGGGCATGACGTAAATAACTGTGGTGGGATATGCCAGCTCTCAGTAGGGAGATTGGTTTTGCAGATAATGATTCTTGCTTATCATACAATGATAAAAATATCTTGGAGAAATATAGAGAGTGGTGAAAATTAGTGGTCTCAATCTGTTTTAATGTTCATTGTGAAACCGAGAATATTTGTCTAGGACCTGTTTTTTCCCTCCCTTCCAAATCTTTTTACAGTCAGACTTTGATAAATTATTTTTTAATAACTTTTCCAAACCAGAAAAAGTAGGGAAATTTCCCCCTGTTCATGAAACAAATCCCTGAAAGTAAAATCCTAAAGTAGGCTGTATAACTACTTCTGGACAGCTTATTTGCTTTTGCTCAACTTACCTTTTTTTTTTTTTTCTTTTATTTAGTCATTTGGAACTAACTTTTTTTTAACAAGGTAATTCCTATTCTGATGAGTTTTGCTCTGTGATTTTGAGCTGTTCACACCTTGGTAAATACTGTAAATAGCATTTATGTAGAATTTAAAATAGAACCTATCAAAAGTTAGTAAACAGAACATAAATATATATTTGTAGTCAGGTTTAAAATAAAAAGTGCTCTGTTCATTGTTACCAACAAGAACTGATACAAAACACAGTTGCTTGTTTTCTCTTGCTAACTCAGACTAGAGTGCTGCTATTTTTTGTGAACAAGGGTGTTTTTTCTGGCACAGTGCACTGTATTGTCACTAGTGGGCTGTGCAACTGGTCTAGTTAAATTGAAGCTGCAGAGGAAGAGTTGTGCTTTTATTGCTAGCAATTTTCTTTGTACATGAAGCATTTATCAAGCTTTGACCAAGGATGTGATAACTTTTTAGCTACAGCATCAATGTTTGAAAACTGTACCTGATTTTTTTTTTTTTTTTTCTTAAGCACCACCTCAATTTCTGTCTGGAAGAAGTGATGACGTAGTTTTAGGTTTCTCTTCCAGTGCAACAAATTCAGATAGTATTTAGAGGTCATATTTAGCCTTGAAAAGGTACATATTTGGCTAGGATGCTGTGATGATTTACTTCTGGCTGGATTTATGCTCTTTAAACAATATTGTCTGCACTGTTTTCCTGACTATACTGAGAAAGATGTGTTTGGGTCTTGATTTTTTTTTTTTTTTGAGTTGGTGGTTCTTGTTGAGGTATAAGCTAACATCTGGATGGTGTTGCAGTTGACCTGTGGTCTTGCTTCTGTGCAGTCTAAGATGTCTGGGGGCTCAAAGCCCTCACCTGTATCTTGCAGCACTCCCTTGAGTGCCCACAAGCCTGAATTCCTCCAGAGCTCCTCTAGAGGTATTCCAGGAGTTATTCGGGTGGTTGTGGAGCAGGTGAGTGACCATGGAAGTTGTAGGACATCTGTAGTACACTGCACAAAAGTGACTTAGTTTTACTGGTGCAGCAACAATTTGAAGGAGACAGAGGGATCTGATGATGCGGAGAAACTTTTTCAGGTCTCAGAGTCCCCTGGCTGCTGGAAACCCCTCAGCTACAATCATTCCTCAAAAGATGTGAGGAAGACGAAAGCTGCATTTGGCATAGAGCCTCCTGTGTGAGAAATGTCACCCTTGCTAGGGAACATCACTGTGCCTCCTCTTTGTTTGCTGTAGCCTGATCTGTCTCTTCCCCCTACTCTCAGGCCTTACATACTTATGTGAGTTGTAACTTCAAGCCAAATTTTACACGGTAAGAACAGTTTGACGCGCTTGTGGTTTAGAAGCCTCTGTTGTTGTGAGGCTCCATTACAGCCTGGCCTTTGTCACTGTAGCTGTAGTCTCGACTGGCTGGGGATCACGCGTCTGCTTTGGCCTCCTTATTGCACTCCAGGTTCAGTTATTCCCTTTCTTAGTAGTTCAGGAACATTACTTATTCCTGCATCTATTATGTCATGAAATACTCAGATTTCCATTCCTGGTAAAGCTGTTGGACAACTACACTTATAGGTATGCCTGGGAGAAGAGGGAAAAATATACTAATTTATTAATAGTTAGCAATTAATCGTGACGGTCTGGTGTTCTTTTTTTAGAGCTATCTTGCTTATCCAGGGAGATTTCAGCAAGGTCAGTTGTGTTAACTGTGTGGGCTGGGAGCTGCAAACCATAGGTGGATTTTAGAAACAGCTATGGGTAATGCTTAGGATTGGAGTTTTTTTTTAGCCTTCCTTTTTTTTTCTTTTTTTTAGGCACTCTCACATTAATTCTATGGGGTTAAAATTATTTGGGAAAATCTAACACTAAGAAACCTCCTGGTTATTTTTTAATATAGGAGTATTTTCCTTTCAGTGGGGAACAGCAGGGAGAGCTGCCCATAACTGGGGCAACAGAAGAATCCCTTTCATCTGTTTTCTTGGTTACTCAAAAAATACTCTATATGAGTGTTTGTTAAATAGAACAGAAAATAGTATTGAATAACCACTCTTTGCAGATCTGAGCTGAAATTCTGAATCTAGCTGGCCCATAATGTTCTACTAGCAGAAGGTGAATATAGTACATACATCTATTTATATTTATTT